GTATTACATAGTGGACCTCGAATTTTGTTGCAAATATTAATCTTCCCTAATTGGAATCTGTAACTGAAAAAAATCACAAAAGAATATTAATATTTTATATACTATATAATAGACATTAAATGCATATATATAAGTAAAATCAATTTTCTTATATGCAGAGTAATTTATGTTTTAAATACTTTTGAAAATTGATTTCCACATTTTTTATAACATTTCATGTGAATTATTTCGTACTTTTATAATAGAAATTTAACGTTATATTCTCCTGTTATTGTGAAATTCTGTAAATACGAAAATTGTCTTTCTCGCAACAACCGTTACTATCTGAAATCTCTGTGAACCCTTGTCGAAGATTTATATCGAAAGAAAACAGTTTCCATCACAATTTCGGGGAGTAAGGGAAGGAAGAAAGATCCCGTCTATCCTCGAGAGATCCTTTGTCCCGTCTCGCTATTGTATTCCGTCACTGGATCGCGGATCCTCGTTTAGCTGTATTGGGAAAGAATTAAATTCGGAAACGGACGGACGAATCGGTCGCGGACATCCTATAGATTCCGGATATATCGTGGGAAAAAACGCATGTACAAATAATGTGGCAAATCCTCATTTTTCTTTGGAAGAAAGCATTGGGGGCAAAGAAGGAACGGAATAGTTTCGGTATGAGAAAAAAGATGTCAGGAACTCCTGTTTTTCTTTTGATATAGTATATTGAATTAAAAAGCTCTGTAAAAAAAGTAGTCTGTAGTGAAAACACGTAATTAATAATAAATGCAACGTCAACTTACATGATCCGAATTGTAGTTTTAAATATAAAGATTAATATTTAAAATTGTATATACAATATATAATACTATTATACAAGTCAATTTACAACGCGCACGAGCAATACAATTTAAATTATAATATAAAATTGTGTGTAAACATTAAATTATAAAAATATTTATAATTATTAATTTCAATTAATATACATATATCTTTTATGAAAAATGTTGTAGGTGTTTATATAATGTTAATTAAATTATCAAGCAACGCAAGCTTTATTTAAAAATAATAACAAAGATAAAAATTTAAATCAATTTCGGAGAACTGTACATTTTAAAACCGATGGTGTCTCGTAAAGAGTTCCGTGAAGAAACGTCTTTCTCCTAACCGCAAAGACACCGATGAAAAAAATATTTGAGGAAAGCGTGTGTGGTATACATAAGTGGTGAGAGATAAATTAGAGAATCTGCCACGCCTGTACTCTTAAGATCTCAAGAATCTAAGAACTAAGTGATGTGAAGTGTTCTTTTTCGAAGTATTCGTTGTCTCTCGAATCTGGAAGTCCTCAGATTTTATATTCTTTTTTATCTGTCAATATCGCGTCTCGATAAACGAAAGGAGAGCATGCGTATCTTAGACTGCAACTAAATTTCTCTTGTTAAAGAAAAAGTGTATAGACTTATTTATTTTAAAATATATGCAATTTGAATTTTCTTAGTAATATCAAGAGAATTTAAACATATCAGAATTCAGTTAAGATTTATCGTTATGTATAAAAATAAAAAATTACTTTAGTATAGAAAATAAAATTTTATCAAATTATAATTAGAATAAATTATAATAAAATTACATAATTAAATAAAATTAGAATATCTATAATGTATTTTTTCGCAATTTAAAAATTAAATTAAAAAATCGAGAAATTTAGCAGTGCTGAAATTGACTGCAAACCGTCACTGTCGTTTTAAAGCTGTCGCGCTACTATGCTGGTCATGTTTATTGATAAGATAACCAACATGCGGGTTCCACCAGCATACTGTTCGTTGGATTCTTTGTTCTATGTACTAAATGTCTGTGGAATAAGTCAAAGGCGGAAAACGACTGTGACAATTGCCATAAACTTCGTCTCATATTTATTTCCCAACGTAGATTGTGCTAATTTGTTAAAGACTCCGCTTATTTTACGTTATTTAAAGAAAATTCTCTTCTCGATATTTCTAATAAAACTAGTTAATTTCTGTTAAATACAAATATTATCCTTTAAAAATCAATCATTATAATAATTATTATAATGTGTAAAAAAAAAAGAAACTTATGCCTTTTTGCTGCAAAATTGTCATATATAAAAATTGACAACGTTTAAAATTTCTTTTTATTTATTGTGTAAAGATTCCATATAACTACAGGAAAAGCTACTCTTCTATTTTCTTCTTTTTTACGTGGCGAATTTATGGACTCCTTCTACCGTCGAAGGGCCCTTAAGAAAAATTTTCACGATTACATGGTCGCAGCACGGCCGTATCTCATACCATATTTAATCTCTATAATACGTTTCAATTACTAAAGCGAGACGCGGCCATTATTTACTGCAACTTTTAGCCTACGGCTTTCCGGCCACCCCTGCACACGCTCCTACCGAGAAACTCCCGTGTTCGATACGCCACTTCGATTAATTATCTTGATTGCCGTGGATTATCTCGCGCTTAATTCGCGCATAACGCATTTCCGTTATTGCTGTAATACGTTACTTAAAAAAGAAGATTTAATTGGACTGGCTGGTTCGAATGAGAGAAGGACAGAGAGACCGGGCTCTCACTTCGTGAATTAACGCTATGTTAAGACTCATGTGCCTCTCACGGTACTGTCCCCGCGCGGAGGTAAACTAAATGCGAGGAAGAAAACCGGCACAGCGGTCGCATACACCGATATACGTGACCGGGAGCCGAGTAAAGAATTTATTAAATTAATTTGACGCGACAACGCATCTCGTAAACTTCGTAGATGACCTCACTTTATAATTGTCGAGAATTACTTGCTGGCCACTCATTCCAAACTCTCGTGCGCCTAAACCTAAAGTTGCTTACTCCCTGAACTTTTTGTCGTGCTGTGATATTGTGATAAATATATATTGTATTTTTTAAGAGAAAATACTAGTATGTATATACTAAAAATGCGCGGCACTTTGTTAAAAGGAAGATAGATAAAAGTTTTGTGATAAAATCTATAAAGAAATTGTTCCAGAGAAATTTGGAGAAATAATTAAAGTGTAAAGATTTTAAAGAGTATAAAGAATTATAATTATCTTTAATGAACTCTAAAAGTACAAGAAATTTATTAGCTAATGTATAATTGTTTATTTAAAAAAATGTCAGAAAAAAAATTTTCTATTTCAGTAATGACGATCGCGAGAGTTAATGACTTTGAAGGCAAAAATTCTGTGCGTGGAGTGTCGCAGCCTATGACTCAACTTTTTTAAATCGTCATGTCGCGCATATGTCAGTGGTAGCGGCAAGTCAGCTTCCGTCGCCCTTTAGTCGATCAACGTATGTGCATCCAGCACTACATGTCGGCCTGCATGCACGGCACGTGGGCGCTACGCACGTTTCTAAGGAAACCGCGACTTCTATTTGTGGCACGACTGGCACCGCCCGCCAGCTGATTTTTTCCCCCGTTGCACGCTTAGAATCGAATGCATTGGTTATCGCAACGGTTATGTTTCTTCCCTTTAAGGAATATACAATTCATTTAAAATCTACTACACTCGTACAAAAATTGAAAACATAAATACAAAATCTTGTAAAAGAATCTATGTAAATTAAATGTAAATGAGACCTTCTTTCCCTAGCAAGAATCTTTAAAAAGTTCAATTTCCTTTAATTTTTATTGATATCTACGTATTTTTTTTTTTATGCGTAATGTACTTTTATGCAAATTGCATAAAAGTAAATTTGAATTTGATAAAAATTAGTCTCTTTTTAAAGTTTATTTTGTTCTTTAAATTCTCGTGTAGATATTTTACAAAAATATAGGAAAATATCTGCATATAAAATATTTTACCCAGTGAACATAAGATTACATGTAACTTGGGTTCACTGGATAGATAGACTCATATGGATATCGATTTAAAATTCTACTAAGTGGATTTGAAAGAAGTAGCTCGATCGTGAAGCGAACATGTGTCAGATATCCATGGGAATTGATGACCAGCAATTGGAAACCAAGAAGATTGAGGAAGGTCTGGTTGCGAGATATTTCAAGAAGAATATCCAACATATGGCTAGACGTTCTGCCACTTCCGTTCGTGGTTGCACGCTTTTAAGATGACACACCATGATCCACCACCAGCCATGTGTCTCCCAAATTGCATACTGTAGACTATTAAGGTTGCTTTGACCTTCGATGCACAAAGCTTCCAGCACAAATACGATAGAGAAACGAAACGGGAATTGCAAAACTAAATTAATTCAAATTTTTTTATCAAGGAAAAATTTTTATCGCCATTTTGAACATAAATTAACCTTTTTATGAATGAATTTGGAAGTAATATTTTTTGAGAAAATTCTTTTTCATCATTACATCGAGGATTAAGTATATAAACAGAAGTAATAAATGACGAGTGTCTAATATAGAAGCTGTAACATTTTTATAATACTATTAAAGAATGAAAATAATTTGATGTCCTCCATAGGACGACATACTCTTTGTCGGTACGAAGTTCCTTTAAAGGATAGGGTTCTCGATGAGACAAAAACGTAGGAGGGACCGTGACATCCAAGTGTCATGTCGGCACGTACTTCGCAAAGTGGTTCGATGCGTAAAGTTTATTTTCGGGCTCGACACCGAGGTAGCACGTGTTCACGATGAAGCGTCGAACACGAGTTTCCACTTGGCGGCATTTCCGCGACGCGGGTATCACGTGTGCATTCTGAATGCATCGACATGCAACTCGTGTCACTCGAATGAGCATCTCTTTATCATGTTTGTCTTTTTGCAAAAAAAAATTACGTTGTTTGTTGAAATTAAGCAATCTCTATAATTAAGTAATTACTCCTTCATTCATTCAATATTGACAAACACATAAAATAAAGGATATATTATGATAATATATAAATAAAAGATTTTTCATTAAATAATTTTTATGATAAAATATAGTATATGTAATAGCGAGTTAATTGGCCAGACTCTTTCTCAACTTGAATACACATTTTGAGTTAAACTCGTCGGGAACTTACCTATGGTTACACGTGCGTCAGCCGTTGCGTGTGCTGTTGATGAACGAGTCTTCCCTGTTCCTGTTCCCACCAGCTGACTACGTCCATGAATTCCCCCGTCTCGGTGATCTCTTGCTTGTAGTAGAGGGCTCCGGAGAAAGTCTCCGGACTAGTCGCGTAGACAGTCGTCGTACCCTCTTCGCTGTCTCCAGCACCGCTGTAGGGAGATAGAATCTGCGGTTCTAAATTCTCCTCATTCTGAGCATAATACTCCGAGGGTGGCGAGGCCACCGAATTTGGCGATAATCTAGAGAAATTTTGTCCACCAGGTATAGTTCGTGGTTCTAAGTTTTCTTCGTCTCCTGCCGAAGATGCGTAGTAATCACGTGGGGATGGAATGGCAGTCCGGTTGGGAGATAGTCTATGAGAAAAAAATTAAATTAAATTAATATAATTAAAGAAAGACATAACTTTTTACACTTTCGTATTATTATAAATTATTAAATTATTATTAATCCCAGCAAACACAGGCATACATATAATTGCTATATAACAGATACGTAAATATACATATATTTTACATTTATGTCAGATAGTAATCATATTTTTATGTAGTTTTTGCTAGGATGTAATTTTATCTATAATATATAATTTTATGAAGTAAAATAGAATCGCGTGTTCATACATCTTCTTCCTATTCTTTTCAACATTTAGAATTTACCTGGATAATGTAATTTTTGATTTGGCATCATCCTCTTCTTCTTCCAGTTGTTCCCTCTCGTCATCTTCTGCGGCTAATACATCGTCCTCGAGAACAAGTCTCTCGCCAGAGCCGTTATGAGTCGAAGAGATGACGCTGCTAGTTGGAGAAGGAGCGCACTGTATGCCGACAGTCTTGGAGTCATATTCAACGCCGTCAGCTTCTGCCAAGAGCCTCTGAAGGCCTCTGATGTACTCGACGGCCATCCTAAGAGTCTCTACCTTCGACAACTTTTTACCCCTATCGCCATAGCCTGCAGCAATGTAGCTCGGAATGTGTTGCCGCAAGGTAGCAAATCCATTGTTTACTTGTTTCACGCGATTCCTTTCCCTGGCGTTTCTTCGAGCAACAGCGACAGGAGGTGGTTGTCCATTCTTGCCGTGTTTTTTCAGTCTGGTAGGATCGTACGGGGGTAACACCGTCGTAGAGTTCGTTGCGTTACTGCTAGTGTTGCTTTTTGGGACTGCCAATGCTGATTGATTACCTATGATATTATTCTCATTATCTTGTAACGTTCGCAGCAACATCAATTGTTCTTGATCATTGCCGTTTATCTGTACTCTATTGCAAAACACCGTTACCCCCATGGTCGCCATTGTGCTTGTTTCAACGAGTATTTTTCGGTGACACGAAGCAGCGTGAGTTCTTAGAATATGTGAACGATCATCGAAGATTCCACGATTTTGTTCCACAAGCTGAAAAAATTAATTCTTTGTAAAGTTTAACATTGTAAGCAATTTTTTAAGTGATTGAGTAATTATTTTCAAGAATTGTTGAATAATAACAAGTTTAATAAGTCAAATAATCAAAATAACGGAAATAGAAATGTGATAATAACATTTTTACATCTACATTAACGATTATGAAGTATCTTGATAAATTATGACTTCTATAAAGTATTGTGTTTTAAATTTAAATATTATACCGTATAATTTCCACAATAGTGTTGATTAAACGAGTTGCGTTAAAAGGCATAGCAGACTCAACCAGTCGATAAACGACACTAATGCTTGTCGAGGACGAATCTAATTGCCGAGCTTATAAATAAAACTGTTTGTTTTATTTTCTTGTCGAAGACAAAGACGATTATTGATATAAACCGTTCGACAGTGCCCCAATTGGATATAAATTTAAATCTGGGTCAAATCTAGCATGTTTACAAAGAAAAATCTTTTGTGTAAAGATGTTTTTAAATTGTGATTACTCTTAAGTATTTATTTTTATAGAAATAGATCATATGTCTAATTTTCTCTACTATGTAGTTTTTTATCTTCTCAAAAGCTAACAATTTAAAATAAAATGCGTGAATGTTTTGCTGTAAGCTTTCATAAGAGCTTGTAGCTTCTTCCTTTACTAACTCATGAAGCTGATGACCCAAACCGAGATCTAATTGTCTCGCTGCCGGTCGCCACAGCTTAAGTAAAGCATGAGGTCACCGTCTATTCTTCTCCACGACGGTCGTCGACTCCTCGGAAACTATTATCGAGATATTTCGAAACAAATCTATTTTTCGCATATTATCAATATACGTATTTAACTGAAATAATGTTCCCCTCTGATATCAAGCATCGTACATTAATTTTTTTTTATACATATCGTTTGCACTGATTGCCGATTGACATGATTCAAGACAATTTTTTAACAAAATTTTAACCGAAGAACGGTGGATCCATTAATTAAAAAATGTAATTTAGTTTATTTTTAATTGAAAATAATTTACCTCATTTAGTTATTGTACCAATTGCTATTTAGCGCAACATAAGAGATGTATGATTTTTATGGCTTTTAATTGAATACTTACCGAAGATCAAGGTGATGCTTGGTGAAAATATTCTCTAACGCTTGCCATGAAGATAAATCGTTTCGACGATCTCATACATAACGTACATTTGATCTTCAAATATTAACGAATATAACAAGAGTCTCTTTATAAGGAGAGAAATTTCAACTTCTGAGAGAAAAGTTGAAGGTACATTTATCCACTTATATATCTCTCATCAATATCTTCTCGCGCAATGTCATCGATTGGCGGTTTTTCCTGCTTTGTTAGAACGTGGATTGCTGTACAACATGTTGCGCTTGCGATGAGCACAAATATTAAATTACGATCCAAACTTCGATCGTAAACTCGATCTCGCTAACAGCAATCACTGTATCATTCACTGTAAATCATTGAGAACACCATCCAAACAATTAGAGAATAATGTTAATCTAATGTTCGAATGATAGCTCCGCGATTCACGTTTTTGGCACAAGTAATATGAATGTAAAATTTGAATGTAAAATGTCAGGATCGATCTGTTTTGTATTTTAAATTATCGTTGGCATACACGAGACACGTATTACTCTTTTCTATGAAAAGATATTACTGATGTCCAATATATGCGAGTGTGAAAAAAATCCTGTGAGGGCTTTAATCTGTTGGAACTTTAATTACACACACATACACACACACACACTTAAATAATCCGTTTGATTGAAAAATCTTCATTCACATCACATTCGTCACTCTTCACTTGCGACGATCCACATGGATCATATGAGGAACAATCTGGTCCACGTTGATTTACGAAATGGAGTAGTAACGGAACGGAAATATCGAGGGTGCCCTTAAGAGTACAAAGACCCCTGGGACTAACTGGAAGCTCGCGTTCGCCGTCGCTGGTAGGGAGATCTTCACGATCGCGTATCACCAGCACCTCTGTTCGCCGATCATGCCTCTGTGGTATGCACTACATGGCGTCCGCTTCGAGAATGAGCGCGGACATCGATAGATGGGTTACGTTTCAGCATTTTGCCGTACCGCCGTCGAGTTAGATCGCGGGGTTGGAGCGAGAAGGGAGAAGGGCGCTCATGTGCGAGAGGGAGCGAAACCGTGAAAGGGAAGGGAATGGAGAATGAGAGAGAAAGAAATGGTAGGGATTTTCAGCACGCGCCGCAGCCCCTCGTTTCTTCTCCCCCGGAACTGAAAAAGGGGGACCGTGCGCGCCATATGCCGGGGGAGAGAGAGAGCGTGTGCCGGTTGTACCGCTACGTGTGTGGGTCTACGGCCCAGCAATAAATACGTGGTGAACATTGCTGCGTGCGTATACGTGCGTGCGTACCTTGCCCGCAATTACCGCTTCTTGTACCGGTGGCGTCGGCCGTAGAACACTGTACGAAAGACAAAGTGATCTTGGTAATCTAATGCGTAATTGAACGGCGGTCGATATACGATTAAAGGGAGCCATATTATTATGTGCTTTAGTCGGTATTGCTCTACGATGATACGTCTGCCGACGACGGAGTAATATTATTAGGTAGTCATGTTTATATTGTTAGTATACTTAGCGCCTGTCTCTATTCGCTATGTTCTATTTACGTATATTATATTCTATTGCTCATCGAGAAGTTTAAAATCCTTTTAGTGCATTTTAATTATTATATTACGTAGAATTTTTCAATTTCAAAATTTTCGACAAACTGTAGAATATACTTTCTTATTATCTATTTAATAAAAAAAACTATTCTTGTCGAGATATTGCGATATTCATGATTGTGATCACAGATCCCTGTTATTAGATGTGAGAGACAAAATAATAAGACTACGATTGGAATTTACGACATTAGTGACTTCGTGCACTTTTACTTGTGAATAATATCAAATTGCGTACGCCTTAAATCTTTCAACTGTATGAACAAAAAGAAATAACAAAAAATAATTTAATTCCACCTGGCATATTTCCTACTGCGGCAAAAGACAGGAAGAACCACACTCGCTCGTTGCGCCGCGGAAGTTTCGTGTTTCAGGGCGGTACACTCGTGAGAGTGACATATTGAATTGCGCGAAATATAATTTTTGTTCGGAAAAATAAAAAAAACCGGTTCTAAAATTGTTTACCATCGGGTACCTTGTTATTTATGCCTTATTTTAAAAAATTTTACTTTTTATAAAATTTAGATTTATTAGCATTTATTTTTAAAAACGTTTACTTTTCTTGCGAAGAGAAATAAAAAGACAGAAGGAATGAGAGACATTGCTTTAAAACGTCTAAAAAATAATTTTTTAATTAAACAATCAAGAATTGTACTGTAGTTGCTATGCAAAATGGAGATTGAATAGAATATTAAATTAGAGCGTACCTAGACCTATATAATTTTTATGCGCATACGTAAATTGTAATTTAGAAAGCAACTGCGATAAAAAGCTTTTTATGCCGGGGGTTGTACTGATTATGCCTAAGGGATTGGAGGGTTCAGTAGGATTCGACCTAGATCTAGTCTGCATTTGTGCAGATCTAAACCTGAGAACCCCTAAACCAACCGTACGATTAAAACGGAGACCCGAATTTATAATATACATTATGTAAACTGGGTCTGCAAAACCTTGTACACACAGAATTTTAATTTTAAATTTGCAAAGCCCAATAATATCATTTATTAAAATGCAATAAACATTTAGAGCTTAGAATATCACGTGTCTCGTAAATCCGAGTTAATATTTTATTAATATTCTTATTGCTTAGCAATTTTATGGAGTGGAAGGACAAAGTAAACAACCGACTTTTCGTTCCATATAACAGCTGGGAAAAATCTGTTTATGGGAATAACACTGCACTATGGTTTTCCCACATGCAAGAAGGATCTTCTCATTTCCACAGGGGATTAACGCAATTCGTACGCGTACGGTTTGCACGTGAGACCGATTAGTCCTCAGCAGTGGTTAAGACGATGATTTATGAAATCTCGAGGATAATGCTTACTCTTCTCACATCCTCATTATTTTCATTGAAAACGGGAAAGGATCATTCTTCACACATGATGCTCGTTAGAGCGCGACGATATTTCCTTTTCGAGTAAAGAGAAGGAAACGATTTCCGGGAATTCGATGTTGGTTTGCTTTTTGCGTAACGTACAATCGGAATTTATGCGACGTTATATAAGAAATATATACATGTAAAGATGTTACGCGAGAAATATAAAAGCGATCTATATGCGCGCATCGGGTCATCTTTATATGACCGCAACGTCTATGAATCGTGTCTTATCGTGCGTTAAACGCGTGTAATTCAACGATTATCATTTCGAGGGTAACATATATCGAGCACTTGGCATTTAAGTCTGACGTCGTACCGGGTGGATTCCGAAATCGTGGTACGCGCAACAAACCCAGTAAAGTCCCCAGATATGTTGATCCGGTAGTTGTGCGCAAAATGGATTCAAATATTTTCAGAAGTGTACGCGGTTTCAAGGAACAAGCTCCTTGCGCGAGAAAAGGGAAAACGTACGTATAGGAGCACAAAATGATCTGATCCTGATTTACGTAATCAGATGGGGCGGCGCGATCATAATATCCTCCGATCGTCCTCATTCCCATGGTGCGTGTATCACGGAGTTTCGGTATTATCGAGCGGCGCATCGGTGCCGCTCGCGACCGTCCGACTGATAAGTTTACAGGCTCATCCGGGGGCATTATGCGTCGGAGAGGATCCTCAACAATGGGGGGCCTCACGGCGGTCCCCCGTTCATCGCGCATAATCCCCACGAGCACTCTCTCGTGGGACTCGAGGCGTGCGCGCTCGCTCGGCCCCCCTCGATACCCCTCGGCACCAGGAGA